TATAACCAGAGTTCGAAAGCCTCGATTCTTTTTAAATTACATTTTTTTAATGTCCAAGTCTCAGCTCCATATAATAATATTGAAAATATATAATAGCGAATGGTACATCAGTCTGATCTCCAAATTTAGATTTTTACACGTTAGGAGTGGCTTCATTCGTATAAATGCTGATCTGGCAATCTCTATTCGCCTGTTTATTTCTACAGTATGATCATTGGTTTCATTGATTAAAGTTCCCAAGTACTGATATTTTTCTACTTGTTCTATCACGTTACCATTGATTGTCAATAGGTGATGTATATTTTGTAGTGTTTTTGTAATTAGCATGTACTTGGTTTTTTTTAGCGTTTATAGTAATTCCCATCTCAGCACTATTCATACTTAAGCTTTCGATAAGATGTTGTAGATCCTCTATACTTGTTGCTATGATCACAGTGTCGTCTGCATATCTTAAGTTGTTAATTAATTTTTCGTTAACGGTGACTCCCGCTTCGATATTATTGAGCGTGTTTTGAAAAATTTCTTCAGAATATAAGTTAAACAAAAGTGGCGATAAAACACATTCCTGTCTAACTTCTCTATATATATATATATATATATATATATATATATATATATATATATCCCGTTTATAGCGTAATCCGCCTTTGGGTTCCCGTTCGCCAAGCCTGTCTATTCTGCCAGTCTTCTTCAAATAGATTTCTTGCTGACATGGCTTTTGAAATTCCTTGCATCCATGTTGTTGGTGGTCGTCCTCGTTTTCTTTTCTCTGGTGGTACCCATTCTAATATTTTTTTTGGTAGTCTTTCTTCCCCCATACGTCTAACATGTCCGTACCATGTCAGTTGTTGTTTTTCGATGTCTTCTATAATTGATCTTTGTACATTCATTTGATTTCTTATGTCCTCATTTCTCACATGTTCTAATCGAGACTTTCCCGCTGCTCTCCTCCAAAAATCCATTTCAACTGCCAAGAGGTTACCTTTAAGTTTTTGTGATAACTGCCATACTTCTGAGCCATACACGATTACTGGTTTCAATATTGTGTTATATATTCTTTTTTTCGTTTCCGGTCTTATATTTTTCTGCCATAGTACTGAATTCAATGCACCTATAACTCGTTTCCCTTTGGTTATTCTGTCTTTTATGGCTTCATCAGTTCTTCCTGTCTTTGTTAGTTTTACCCCCAAATATATACATTGATCGCATTTCTTAATTTTCCCGTCTTCTAAGTCGAGGTCATCTGCAGTATTTTCTCCTCCTATGCAAAGATATTGCGTTTTTTGTAAATTTACTTCGAGGCCCCATTTTTTGTACTCTTCCATTAGTTTTCTAGCCATATACTCTAGGTCTTCCTTGTCTTGGGCAATAACTACCTGGTCATCTGCATAATGCAGCGTGTATAACGTTTCATCCCCAATAGACAGCCCCATCCCTTTACACTTCTTTTTCCATTGCCTGAGTGCTTCGTCGATATATATATTAAATAGTATGGGAGATAAACAACAACCTTGCTTCAGTCCTTTTGTTACCTGAAAACCATTAGTAACCTTATTTCCTATTTTAACTTTTGATATTGTGTTGTTATATAGATCTTTAATAGCGTCGATTAGTGAAACGCTGATACTGGTTTTCTCCAATACTTCCCACAATTTCGCAACAGGCACGGTGTCATATGCTTTTGTTAAATCGACTAAAAGTAAATGCACTTCTCGAGATCTCAGTGTTCATTTCTCGAGTATTTGGGATAAGCAAAAAATACTATCTATTGTGGATCGTCCCGCTCTGAATCCGTTTTGTTCTTCTGATTCAAAAGGACGGTATTCTTCGCATATGCGTTCTTTTATAATTCTCCCATATAATCTGCTAAGCGTACTCGTAACAGTTATACCCCGATAGTTATTGCAATCTTCCTTATTTCCTTTTTTATGGATAGATGTAATCCATCCTTCTTTCCAACTTTGTGGCACTGGTTCTCCGTGCAAGTGCCTATTGAAAACTTCTGTTAGTATCTCGAATAGTTTGTTGGTTCCATTTTTTATTAACTCTGCATATATCCCCTCTGGGCCCGGAGCACGTCCATTTTTCAACAATGATATAGCTTTTTTAGTTTCTTCGATGTTAATTGTTGGAGGCTCTCCTTGAATCAGGATTTCATGTTGTTCTATGTTTTTGAATTCCGGTCTTTCTTCTACTAACAGTGTTTTATAGTGTTTTTCCCATTTTTCGGGCTCTATGGAGTGTATGGCTATTTGTTCTGTTCTGTTGGATCTGATGTTTTTTATAAATCTCCAGGATTCTCTTGATTTGCGGCCGCCAATATACGTATCTAATTCCTGACATTTTCTCTCCCAGCTTTGATTTTTTGACTCTATTATCGTGGATTTAAATTTATTTACCATTTCTCTATATTCTCTTTTGTGTTCTTGATCCTTTGTTCCCAGCCATCTGTGATATAATTTTTGCTTTTGATCTTTCATTTCCTGTAGTTCATCATTCCACCAATTATTTGTCTTTCTGAGTTTGTTTACTCTTATTCCTAATGCTTCTTTGGCCGCTTGATGTATTCCTTTTCTTATTATGCTATGTAACTCTTCTGTTGTTTTATGTTTAAATTCCTGTGGTAGTTGTTGCTCCAATCTTTTTTTATACAATTCTCTAGTACTATCGTTGTCTAAACTTGTTAGATTATACTGCAGTTGTTCACCTTCTGCTGAGTGATTTTCATTTAGATTTTTGTTTTGTTGGTGTTTACCGTTTCCGCTTAGCGGTAGTATCATTTTAGCTTTTACTAGATGGTGGTCACTTCCACATTCGGCTCCTCGAAATACTCTTACGTCATGCACTTTTATTTTAGATTTTTGTTTCATTATTAGGTAATCAATTACTGATCTTAAGTTTCTTGTAGGCTGAGTCCATGTATATGTATGTATTTCCTTATGTTTGAAATACCCATTCATGATCCTTAGTGAGTTGTGTCTACACATTTCTATTAAGTTATTGCCATTATCGTTTGTAGTGTTTTCTCCATATGGTCCTATTGTTTTATCTTTTATTCTTCTACCAGTTCTTGCGTTGAGGTCACCTAGTATAATAGTTTCCCTTGTTTGACCTATTTGAGAGATAGTTTCATCTAGGACTTCATAGTATTTTATTTTTTCTTCTAGGCGTGCATCATCATTCGGACCGTATGTGCCTATTATTGTTATTTTTAATCCTTTCAAGTTGAGGTTGATCTTTATGATTCTTTCATTTATTGCTTGCTAGTTCGATATATTCTTTTTGTATTTCTTCAATATAAGTATTGATACTCCTCTTTTGGCATGTTCTTCCTTATTAACTCCCGTGTGTATATGTATATATCCATCAAGATTTTGGGTTCCTTGTCCTTTTTTCTTTGTTTCTGAGAGTACAGCAAAATCCATTTTATGTTTTTTCATTTCTTGGATAACATCTTTGATTTTATTTCTAATTCCTTGTGTATTCCATGTACCACAAATCAGTGTCCGTTTTCGTTGCCATTGTCGTCGTCCTTTAGTTCCAGCCATATCCCGAGGCTTGGTTTCGGTATTTTTAGCATTACTATTTTTTCCAAGAATGAGTTGCTGGCCCATTGCTAAACCCCCTTGCTAGGAGGACCAGAATTTTCTGTCGGGGTTTATTCCCTTAGCCTATAAATAACTCACCCCGCTGGCAGACGTGTTAGCGAGTGGGGGGGGATTAGGTAAGGAATTTGGAGTTTAGGTAGGATAATACTAGGGTTTGGGCCTGGTTTCACCTAAATAGGGAGTGGAGGAAAAACCAGGAGCTCGCGTGGGCAGGGACGCTACCTCCCTGAAGTAAGTCTACCCTCTATCGGGACCATAAAGGGGTACCTACACGCTACCCACTAACTTCTCTACAGATCTTTATTTCTTCTGAGTATTGCCCATCAATTTAAACTATGGCACTTTCGTTCCAATATAATGTTTGCACTATATTTATGATTTTACTGTCAATGCGCCTGTTCATAAGTATTCATATTAGTTTTTCATGTCTTACTTTATCGAAAGCTTTTTCGTAGTCAATGAAGCACAAGTGTAGATCAACGTTTACATCCCGACATCGCTGAATCAACATGTTAATGGCAAATCGTCCTTCTCGAGTACCCATTCAATTTCGGAATCCGAACTGCGTCTCGCTAATATCCTCCTCTAGCCTTTCGTATATTCTCTTATGTATTATTACCTACTACCTAACTATTACCTACTAACCTAAAATTATTTATTGTAATTAACCCAAATGTCAATTATAGTCATATTCCTACATTAACGTGATACACATAAAAAGGTATTTTTTCAATACAAGTAGCTTTGTCATAACTTCTTATGAAATTTTTCGTACGCTATTGGAAGACTTACAATAGCACTGAAACGTCACTATTTTGTCTAACAATTTACTGCCTACAATTGATTCTCAAATATAGCACATGTACATATCACCTTTATGATTATTAGAAATCTAAATTGCAATACCCTTTATTGTTGTTCGTTGTGATCTATAACATAAAATTATTTGAAAATGGTAGCTGTAGAACATTGCACTATAATCTTAGTAATACCTATATAAGTAATCTTTCTTAAGATAGCGTTAGTAACGTTATGTGATTTATTTCTTACCAGTTATAAACAACTTATATATAAAACAACAATGTTTTTTCTATAATCGAATCTTTGATACCGAATGAAAAACACGATAAATGTTGAAAAAAAAAACAATATATTTGTGGAAGCAATTTAATTGCATATTGTTTCTACTGATAACTTGATAATTTTTAGATTCAAGATATATTGTTTATTAATAACATAAGAATATAAGTTCATGTAAATAAGTTATCATATAAGTTGTTTTATGTAAAATATATTATTGTACATAAATCAAACCATTGTACAGAAACATTCTAATCACTTCCATAGCGCAATTTAAATATCTCTACACACTTTTTTGCACAAATTTTATAGGTTGACACAACTACACAGTTTTCTAATAAAATTGTAAGCACCGAGTCTTCTTCTACCATACAAACTACAATGCCGACAGAACAAGCCATTAGCACCACCACAACCACTATCACATCAACTACAAGTACACCTGAGGTTACTCAATTAAAGGTATAATCTGCCATAAATTTTATTTTAATTACTGATCTTTAGAGCTTTCTAAAAACATAATGATGCGTTAAACTTATAATATAAATGTGTATAACTAATTGTCAAACAATTTGTTTTGGTTAGGCTTACAAACTAATTTTTAATGTTATTATCCAACAGTTAGAAGAAACTTCTACCGAGGACAATGCAATTCTATCAAATAAAATCTTGGATGATACAACATTCCCTGAAAAACCGATACCATTTTCGGCAATTCAAAAAATAGGCACACCAAGAAAGATAACACCTACAACCATTACTCCTATATTTATAAGTACGACTCCGTCAGTATTTCCAACATTTTTAACAACTTTGTTCCCAAGTTTGTTTACTAATGAAGCAACTAGAAAACCTAAAGTAACAACAATTTCACCAGGTGTAATTAGAATCTCAGCTGCTCCTTCGGTAACTCAAACGACTTTCACCACTGAAAGACCTGTTACAACGACACAACCAATTACCACAACTAAACCTACCACAACAACTACAACTACTACCACAACAACCACTGCACCAACTACCACCACTAGACCACCAACGACAACGAAAATAGTAACATCAACTCCAAGTATAACCACCACTACCCCAATAACTACAACTACTACTCCAACAACAACACCAAAACCAATTACAACTACTACTATTCCTACAACAACACCAACACCAACAACAACTACGAGGATGACCACTACACCACCCACACGATTTACTCTTGGTGAAACAGTTACGGCTTCTACAACAGGAAGAACTGAGGCTTTTACTGATTTTAATACTATAGAAGTTACCACAACCGCAATCAAACTTAAAACATTGTCATCTGAACAGAAGAATAATCTTAGAGAGATAGCGCAACTAGAGAAGGAACAAGCAACTTTGTTGCAGCAGTTATCATTTTTAACGAATCTGGTAAGTACTTACATTTAAAATGTATTAAAACAAGATTTATGACGTATTTTCCCAATAATTATACTATTTATTTTGCAAAAGATTTTCCTTCTTTTTCTTTTAGTAGAACTAGGTCCTCTTTAGTCCGTTATGTTTAACCTTCTTACTAAATATTTTTCATATATATCTTTCGTTTAATATACCACTTTAATATGTTTCCTTCTTTATTTATATTGTTTTTCTAGCGATGTTGTTGTCTTATTTATATGTCATAATTGAAGTTTTTGGTTTTTTGTAGCTTTTAGTGTTCATGCTTTTTGAGATATTGTTAAAACCAGATGCTTCTATTTTATATTCCTTAACGATTATATTAGAGTTTGTTTGTCTATTATTTATCGTAATTTTTACTATTATGAGATAGTTTGCTTTTTCCAACTAATATTGAAGACTGCTTTAATACATTTATCTTGTAGCTTCCTCATCATTTCACTTAGATCTTCAGAGTCTTGTTGCTATTTTATCATCTGTTAAATCACAAATTATTGTAGAATTTATTATCTGCATGTCATTAGGAAATCGTTTCTATTTGATGGATTACTAACAAATGAAGGTAGCAGGTATAACCATAAATAAAACGTACAGTCACTAGGCTTTGTTCAACTGTTTTCAATTTTTTCTGGAAAAATAATAATAAATTTTACAATAAAAGAAATCACAGTTTAAACTTGTTATGCTAGGTTTGTTTGTTTAAAATTTATTAATTTTGATGAAATGAAAGGCAGATATAGAGCACAATTTTACTAATTCAATCTTGCCCAAGTACTTTCGCTTTCTAAAGCATCATCAGGAGCATTTCGTCAATTTTGGGCTATCCAACAAGCGCAGAATGTAATAAACATAACATTATACATAAAATTGTACAAACACTACACTAAACAAGGACAAACAGTTTAAAATTATTTAAAATTAGTCGAAGCTACATTCTTGTCGGCAACAGGAGAGAGTAATAATCTAGTCTTATTAAAATTATTAACTAAGTACAATTCATAAATGGTCTTACTGATTGTTTTTATAGCATATTATTTTTGTATTATTTTTGATTCATTCTGAATAATTATTCTTACTTTAACTTTCTTCTTGACCCCACCCCAACAATCAATGTCGTCAAATATACTCTTCGTCCCTTTTCCTTCTTTTTCATTTGTGTTGTTATTGTTATACCGTTTTTGTTTTTTTTTATTTAATTAATTGGTGATCTTTACAGCTTTTGTAATTTATCCTTGTATGAAATTGAAAGTCGTATTTAAAATATAAAATTAAAAAAAGGAATGTAAATAATTATTTTTTTAAGAGTTTTTAAGAGTTTTTTTTTAAATAACTCAGATGGAAGTCTTTTCAAAGACCAAACCGTTATAAAAGCCCTAATATTACAATTGTGGTTAATTTTTAATTAATATTGATTTAAAAGTAAAGTGGAGCAATAATAGTATAACTTTAGAATAAAACTATTTTGGAGTTTTTAATATTTTTCTTTCTTTTTTATACTTCAGGTTTAGTTTGGTGTAATGGGAGCCCCACAAAAACTGCTAATAAATAAAATTATTTTTGTGTTTTGTTTAAGTGTAGCTGATATAAAAGTTGTCAAGGATTGAGCTTGAGTTTGGAGTTTGCCATACACAGAATAAACTTTGGCTGGCGAGAACATCGTTAGTTTAGACTACGGGTGATACGGAGCTCAAGCAATATAGTCACTCTATTTTTACCTTATATATCGAACTCGAAAAAAATTTGGTTTTCATTGATATAATTTACACTGCTCTTGTTATTAACGCTACCATAATTTGTTTGGCACTTAGCACGACCCAAATAACAACTGTATATAAAAAATTGAAAAAAGACTGATATATTTTGTACACACTTATGGCACATAAATGAATTCAAAAGAAAAGTGTGTAAAGCATTGAATTCCTAGCTAAGTGCTTTAGGCTTACAAAGCCATTTTCAGAGCTATGTTCAAATTTTAAGAAGGATCACTACTAACGATAACATATGTTTAAAAAGTAGAACAAAGTTGTCTCTTTAAACTTTAAAAGCTCTAAAAGTCTTTAAAAAGGCAGCACATTAAAAGACTTTAATGTGTTTTTGATGTAGTCTTTTATTGGGTTATCTCCTTAATACTAGAAGTGTGCTATAACTATTGGAGTTACTAAAAATTTATTTGAGGAACGTGAAAAAACATAATGCCGTAAAACTGTCGGTTCCGGCTCTTCTAGGTACAAGTCATTATATTAAATAGCCAAATGTTTAATATAAAATTCAATATATATCATGAACTTAAACAACATGAAAAAAAAAAGATATTTCCATTTTACTAAGCGTAACCATCAAAATGACGGCACTGGCCCTTCTACTGTTAATTACTTTTTTTTGAAGCTTTTAAAGTTTAAAAAAATGTTGGTCTACTTTTTGAAGAATAGATACCTCTTTTAGTAGTGGTACTTTTTAAATTTTGACCACAGATATGAAGATAGCTTGTAAGCTAAAAGCATTCAGCTAGGAATTAACTGCTTTACATACTTTTAATGTACCTTTCTTTAGAACTATTTCAATTGTATATAAAGCCTTGTGAAGATATTACTCAAAGAGTTACTTGTATTAAAATTCTCTCAAAGGTGAAACACAACTGAATTACTACTTAGTTTTAATTAAATAAATAAATATTTTTATTATATAATTCTCTAATTTTTTAGGGTTTGGGTCAAAATAGAGGACCAAAATCAATAGTTAATGACAAACACAAAAATGCAAACACCAATCCTGCTACGAGTTTAGCAGAAAGGGTAAGTTCAAATTTTAAAACTTAATTTAATATTTTATTAACCAACAAAATTTTAGATTCTTGCTTTAGCCGTTCAAAGAGACAAAAATTCAAAATCTACCTCAACAGTTGCTACAACTGTTACAACCAGTTCTACCACTAAGCGTCCTACCTCAATACAGGACCAAATAGCAGCCTTAGAAACTACTAAAATACCTACAAAAGCAACACCTGCTTTGGAAGATGTTTTAAAGCAGTATAATTTGAACGGTCTAAACGTTGCTGTCACATCACCAACGTCAACTGTTTATGGAAAGTCTGAAGATGCGATATTGGCATCAATTTTAAAAGAACAAGGAATTGTACCCTCGACGCCAGCAGTGTTAGCAGTAAGCAGATTTTTTATCCAATAAAGGGGTGTATTCTGTAACCATTCCTTTAAATTTTAGAGGCCTCTAAAATTTTAGCGTCCGCTAAAATTATTTTTGTATTCTGTAACTTATGCATCCGTTAAAATCATAACCTAAACCGTTAAAACTCCCGCTAAAACAAAATATTTTGGAGGATGTCAAAACTTGTCCTCTTATTTTTAGCGCCCGTTAAATATCATTTGATTATTTTTGTTTGGTTAGGTTTATATGATTATTAGTTTGTTATTTATATATTATACTGCAGATAAACAATTAAAAAAGACAAATAGCTTTTTATAATATATTTGGTGAAGCTTTTAGTTGATGAAATAATAAATAATAATGAAAGGTAACTCTCAGTTTACTTTATAATCCGTGTGTTACATCTATAACAAAATTAAAATTTTTTATTCTTTTTGTAGAGCTGAATTCAGATTACATCAAGAGATAATCCGATATAATATGATCAATCCTTTCCCATAACACATGGACTTTTCCCAATTCATTTAGGATTAATTTTATTCCTGTTAGAATTTTATTTTCTTTTAAAAAAACTTATCAAAAACTCTTTTTGAGATTTTGTTGTTCGTGGAGCACGAGACATAATAAAATTTTATTAAAACGAAAATAAAATCAACTCGAACACAAATAAACTGAAATATATTTTCAATAATAATAAAATAACAAGTCAAGCAGACTGTCAATTTCGTCTTCTTTCTTAAGTTTTTGGCCTCCAACTTTTAGTTTTTGGTCAATTTTTACCTTATAAGTAGTTTAACACCATTAACGTGCGACGTTGCCGTATCTGATCGAAAACTTTTTAGAGGATTCCTCTAAAAAAATATATTTTAGCGGTCCTCTATAATATTTCTTTATAGAATGTCAATGTTACCTAAAACTTTAAGAGGACCGTTAAAAGTTAAATTTTAGAGGCCTCTTAAATTTAACGGAAATGTTACAGAATACACCCCAAAATGAGTTCTACAAAAGAGATTTAAATGAAACGTTTCACCTTTTTTTATTACGGTCAATTGTTTTCGTTCGTTAATCATTGTTTAGTCGGTAGAAACAGCCTAACTTAGTTTAAATAGTCAATAGAGCATTAGTTTTTTGTAAAAATGGTTCATAGCAATTATAATTTAAATGTGAACTAGCTAGAGAATTTTCGAAAAATCAGGAAAAATTTTTAAAATGAAAAGCTAACGTTACAAACCTATTGTCAACCGTTTATCTTAAGTATCTTGGAAACGGATAGAAGTAAAATTGTTCGCAAATTGTCCAAACAATAACATGTCCGAACTAGAATAATTATTTTCTTTCTATGTCATCATTGATATTTCGCTCCATTTTTATTTCGTCTCACATAATCCATTTCTGTCGTCATAAGTTTGTTTCCATTAGCTTTGGTGACGTCCCATACTTCCGAACCGTAAAGTGTAATACTTTGGACTATACTACCGTAAATGTGTTTTTTGGTTTCTCGTCGAATTGTTTTTTGCCAGAGAAGAGAGTTTAAGGCATGGGTCACTACTCTGCCCTTGTTTATCCTTTCCACAATTTCATCTCCGCTATTTCCCTTCTTGTTGAAAATGACCCCCAAATATTTGCAGGATTGCACGCCTTTGATTTTGTCGTATTCCAAGACTAGGTCAGATATTTCATCTGTTCCCACTGAGAGATATTCACATTTTGTCATTTTCATGTTTAGACATGCCACCTTTTATTCTTCTTGCAGCTTTCTTATCATATAGCTAAGATAGTATCTGTCTTCGGCAATTGCTACCTGGTCATCCGCAAAGAAAAGTGTATCTAGCGTATTTTCTTCCACCGTTATTCCAATGTTTCTACATTTTTTTACCCATTTTACTAAGGATCTGTTTAAATATATTTTAAATAAGGTGGGTGACAGACTGCAGTCTTGTCTTAGTCCCTTTGTTGTTTGAAAATGAGAGGTGATTTCTTTTTCCATTCTAATTCTTGCAAAGTTTTGTTCGTAGTATTTTTGAGTGTCGTTAATAAAAATTGGATTTATTTTCAAGTTACCCATTTCTATCCATAGTTGGGAGATCGGCACACTGTCATATGATTTTTCCAAATCTATTAAAACTATATGGGTTTATCTATTTCTGTGCACTTGTTTTTCCATTGTAATTTTTAATGTTATCCATAGTGGAGCGTCCTGCCCTAAATCCCGCTTGTTCTTCGGGTTGTTTGTCTTTAATATCATTTTCTATCAGGTTTCGTAGTACTTTTGAGTATAGTCGACCTATAGTAGCGATCACTGCGATCCCTATATAGTTTGTAGGATCCGTCTTTGTGCCTTTCTTGTGTTCTGGAGAGATATACGATTGTCTCCATTCTTCTGGAACTTCTTCTCCGTTTAAGCATCTTTCGAATAATTTTTGGATCATTTCAAATAGTTTTGATGATCCCTACCTAATCAACTCTGGATATATTCCGCCTGGGCCTGGAGATTTTCTTAATTCCATTCCCTTAACTGCTTCTTTCACTTGTTTTATTGATATTTCTATTCTTCCTTCTACTTCCACTTGTTCATTTGTCTGTTTAAACCTTTTTCTTCTCTCTGTTAATAAGTTCTCAAAATGCTCTACTCATGTGTTCTCTGGTATTCTATTTATTATGACTTGGTTTTATGTCGTTGTTCTAATCGTTTTTATAGTTCTTCAGGCTTCAGAGCTCTTTGTCTCTCCTATGTGGTTGTCTAAGTATTGGCATTTTTGTTCCCATGCACCATTTGCACATTTGTAAACACCAAAAATTAAGAAATGCATATTTATATTTTACAGGGCGTTTTTGACGAAACTACTACTAGACCTCGACGACCCAAAACCACTACTCCACAACCTGGTCCTATAATGCGAGGTTTAAATTGGTTACTTAATACTCTTGCACCGACACCGGCTCCTGCAACAAAAAGACCTATACCCAAACCGGTGAAACCAAATAAACCGCCTGTAGAAGAAGAACTTTTGGTTAATTCTCCAACTCACATGACTCCCATCGCCACAGCTGCTCCTTCCAAAATTGCCAACGCGCTCAGTCAAGAGGATATCAAGAAACTTATCAATCAACTAGAAGGTAAGAGGAATTTTTAATAGTGAGTGTGAGTTGGTGTATGTATTTAAAACTTTAAGTGCTTTATTAATATTGTAGATATTCGAAATAACTCTAAACTATTGCTGTACTCGTTGAAAACTCTTGTATTAGATTGATTTTGATCACATTCTTTAATATTAAAATAAATGTTGAAAATCTCAGTATTACTAGTTCTTTCAACATTAAACAATAAAACTTATTAGAGTTAATAACTAGGAAATTTAACTATTATCAGTTAGCGCTACAGCCCTTTGTAAACCCTGGACTACCTTAACACATTATTCCATAATTCTTTATCGAGTGTCTGTTTTCTCTATTCCCTTACTTCAATCTTCCTTAAATCGTCCTGCATATTGTCGAAATACATAAGTATAGGTCACCCCTTCTTTTTCTTCCGACCATCCTACTTAACATGGCTATTGTAGAAGGATCACTTTTAATCTATCCACATAGCATGGTCCACCTATCTTAGATGGTTTATTTTGATGGTTTTTATGATGCGTCACCAAAAAGTCTATAGAGTTCAAAACTATATCTCCTATAAATAACATATTATTACTTCACTACTTCCACTGTTTTGCTAATCCTTACACAAATTATATCGTCTTCTTTAAACGCTGCAAATACTTAAAAGCCCTATTAGAAAAGTGCCTTGTCTTTTAGCAGTTTCTTATTAGAACTTTTGAAAAAGAGAACGTCTCCTTTCGTACGTAATCTTTACAACGTAACCTATATTTGCATTTTCAATATGCAAAATGATACACAAGATTATAATGAAAAATCTATGTCTCTCTTCCATCCTGACCGCCGGCAGGGAGTGTATTGGTCAGCTGGTGATGTCGTGTAATGTAAAGATCTTTGTATCTGGTCCTTTCTGTTAACTCATGCATAGGTATTTTGCATATTCCTGTAATTTGATTTATTGATCTGGCTGGGGATCTTCCTCTTGATCTTCGGTCTTTTACATTTTATTGGGTAATGAGTCTTTCCATTCTATTCTACTCTCATCACATGTCCAAAGTATTTTAATTGTTGGAGAAGGACTTTGCTGGATAGCCGTTTGCTGACTTTTTGCTTATTTAAAATTGAAGTATTTGACCTGTGGTCGGTTCACGGAAATCACTCTTTCTCCAACAGAACATTATAGTGACGTCTATCTTTCTTCTTGTGTGGATGATTGTTATGTAGTATATCTATTATCATGATCTTTGTCTTGGATATGTTTAACTGCAGACCATACATTTGACTTTCGTTTTTAATTAGTCGTATGACATCAATTAATTCTTCTTGACAATTTGAAAGAAAAGCTGTGTTGTCAGCAAAACGTAGGTTGTTTATTTTTTGGCCATTTATTGAGATGCCGTTTTCCGATTCCTTAAGCGCTCTTCTCATAATATGCTTTCCATATATAATATATTAAACTTGGGATATTTTTTTAAAGCTACTTTAGTAATTTCTTGTAATCTCTAATGTTTTGTATGATGGTTTAACTGGTTTCAAGCGTTTCTGCTTACTGTCAAATGAACCATTGTCTGCAGATCATTTTTTTCTAATTTTTTACGATTTTATTACACTGCAATCAACTATTATCTCTTACAACACAACTACACAGTGTAATTTCCAGGTATTTTATTTCCTCTACTTATCCACTACTGATGACTTCAATTTCTATTTTACATCTGGTTTGTTATTTGCTGATTACTGTTGTTTTAGTTTTCGGAGATGAAATTGTCATATTAAATTCTTTTGCTCTTACGTTAAACCTGTGGACCAGGCTTTACATACTATCTTCATCTTGAGCTATCAATATTTTGTCGTCTGCGTAACAGAGTATTTTGATTTCTTTGTTTCTCATTCTGTATCCTCTTCTTTTGTTAACGGTTTTGATGATTCCATCCATGATCAAATTAAAGAGCATGGGACTCAATGAATCCCCTTGTCTTATTTCGCTGCAAATTTTTCTATAGGTTCTGTAAGTTGTATTGTGACTTCCATTTTGTTGTTTTGGTAGATGTTTTCGTTGGTTTTTATAATATTTAGGGGAACTTTTTTACTATAAAGAAGATGGATTAGATTTTTGAGTCCTACTCTGTCAAAAGTTTTCTTTAGGTCAATCAGACACAGAAATGTGGTTGTGGGCATTTGCATACCTTTACTCTTTATTACACATTTTTATATACATATATCTTATTATTTATTTAAATTAAGAATATTAATAATTTTATTAAAAAAAAACCTTTAGATGTCTTTTTCTTTCATTATTCTTCTTCTTTTCAGCATTTCTCCTTTAATCTTCTCATTCCTTTCTCTTAAAAATATTTTTCAATTTACCTTTCACTTCCTTTTCGTTCATTTTCCTTCCATTATACTCATTTTCCTTTCATTTATTTATTTTGTTTTATTGTTATTTTTATTAGTTTTTCTATTTTTGCTATAAATATTATACAAATATTATTACACACAATTTGATATAGAGTGAACGGCTAAATTATGGAATATTATCATTATTTCGAGAACCGTCGAGTTTTGAGGGAAATCCCGAAACAGGTCGATTTTTGTTATAAAATACCCATCTCACAACGTACATGGAGTAGGGATGACGTCACCGGTGTGGGTGTAGTGAAGTAATCGTTAATTTTTTTAAATAGAAATCAGTATAATGCGACACCTCATTAGAAAGGTAATTTAATTCTCTATTTAACGACATTATATTTTTAACTAAAATATTTTTTAATGGTACAAAAAGAATTTTTTTTAATTTAAATTCAACTAAATTACAACTAATGTTTTAATTCATAATGTACTTTAAAGTAACCAAATTATGCATAACAATTATTTTAAATTAAATGTTCGAAATGCCATTGATCAGTTCCTGCCTTGACTTTCTGAAGTAATTACTTAAAAAAGCAAAAATAAGTAAAAATAATAATGAACACAAAAAGTTATCTCATACACACTGAACACTGAATCTGTTTGTTAAATGTTAATTCAAGCAAGTGATAGTGGCATAGTTACTATAATATTTATTGACGTAAATGTTTTGATTTTGTGAATTGTCATCAGTTGTCAATTGTAATTTTTACTTTAGAATACTAAATTATGGCTCACCTAAAAACCCAACGCATAGAAATATTAATTCTTAGCGGATGCGGAGATAAAAAAGAACACAGAACGAGGTATGCAATTTATTCAACGTAAAATATCCAGACAGACCCATCAGCCAATCAACAGTAAGTAAAATAGTCCGAAAATTTGGAGAAACTGGGCAAGTTAAACATATTCCAAACGCTGGGCGTCCTAAAATTGAAGACAAACTGAAACTTGATATTTTATTAAATATACATGACAATCCTCACAGTCGTTCAACACAAATGAGTGAATATGCTGGGGTTTCCCAACGATTGCTATTACGTATTAAAAAAAAAATATCATCCCTATAAAATTCAACTACATCAGGAATTAAACGACGACGATCCCGATCGCCGGCTTCAATTTTCTGAAATTATGCAGGGTTTATGTATCCGCAATCCACATTTCATCAATCAAATCCTTTTTTCCGATGAAGCCACATTTTTTATATATGGTACCGTGAATCGTCAAAATTGCAGATATTGGAGTCAAGAAAACCCTTATTTAATAACTGAGTTACACACGCAATATCCTTAGAAAGTAAATGTATGGGCAGGGATCATTAATGATTGAATCATTGGCCCTTTTTTCTTTGAAGATAATCTAACAGGAGAACGTTATTTACCTTTTTTGAGAAATCAACTTATACCTGTTCTTGCTAACATGTATCCAAATACCAATAATCCAAATTTATATATATATATATGTATATATATATATACATATATATATATATATATATATATATATATATATATTATATATATATATATATATATATATTATATATATATATATATATATATATATATATATATATATATATATATATATATATATATATACATATATATATATATATAAGCGAGATTCCTACAGCCTCTGCCGCTTCTCGCATTTCGACCGCCATCGTTCTCTGTCCATCCATTCGTCTTCTTTGATGGCTCTATCTCTCATTAGGTGTCGTACATTTTCTTCCCAGGCAACTGATAGGTCTTCCCCTTCTTCTTCTTTGTTGTGGTATGTAATTTAAAGCTTTCTTTGGCCATCTATCTTCATTCATTCGCTTCACATGACCATACCACACTAGTTGTCTCGTTTCAATTCTGTCTACACTGGAATATACAGTATTTGTCCTCCTTCTAATATCTTCATTCCTGATATGATCTTTTTTGGATACACCACACGCTCTCCTTAGAAAATCCATTTCTATTACTTCTATTCTTTTTCTATCTTTTTTCGTGATCTGCCAAACTTCTGCCCCATAAGTCATAATAGGCTCTACCAAGGTTCGATAGATTGTCAATTTTGTTTCTTGTCTAATATCTTTAGACCATAGTAGAGAGTTCAGAATGTTAACCGCTTTTTTTCCCTGCTGCGTCCTGTTTTCGATGTCTCTTTTGGTAGTGCCTTCTTTAGATATTATAGATCCGAGATATTTATATTCATTGCATGTTTTTGTGTTTCTAATTTCTAACTCTGGATCTTCTTCGTCATCTCCTATTTTAAGATACTCTGTCTTTGACATATTCATATTGAGGCCCCATTTTTCATATTCTTTCTTTAGTTTTCTAAACATGTAGTCCATGTCTTCCTCATCATTCGCTATGACTACATGATCATCTGCGAAAAATAAAGTTGTTAGACATTTACCATCGCCTATGTCTATTCCCATTTCGGATACTTGTTTCCTCCACTGCTCTAGCGATGATTGAATATATATTTTAAATAAGGTCGGAGATAGACAACATTCTTGTTTAAGCCCCTTTGTTATTGGAAATGATTGAGATATAAAGTTTCCTTCTTTAACGACACTTCTTGCATTTTTGTATATATTTGCGATAGCATTCACATACTCTCTACTGAGACCTACTTTCGTCAATGTTTGAAACAGTTTTTTTCAAAGGTACCAAAATCCAAATTTACCTAGTGAAAATATCTGGTTTTAACAAGATGAAGCTTGTTCGCATTACGCACGGGAAGTACGTCAACTTTTAAACAATTGCTTTCCCAGGAGGTGGATCGGAAGACAACGTTTTATAGAGTGGCCAGCAAGGTCGCCAGATCTAACATCTCTAAACTTTTTTCTATAGGGTTACATAAAATCAAAAGTTTACGTCAATAGACCCCAAAACTTACAGTACTTGAAAGATAGAATTAGGCATGAAATGAGTCTAATTACTCCAGAAATCATCCGCAATGTACTTGATGAATGTGTCCGTAGATTCGCATATTGTCAAGAAACTGATGGATGGCATTTCGAACATTTAATTTAAAATAATTATTATGTATAATTTGGTTACTTTAAAGTACATTATGAATTAAATCATTAGTTGTAATTTAGTTTAATTTTAATTAAAAAAAAATGTTTTTGTACCCTTAAAAAATATTTTAGTTAAAAATGTACTGTCGTTATATGGGAATTAAATTCTCCTTTAAATGAGGTGTCGCATTATACCGATTTCTATTAAAAAAATTAACGATTACGTCACTACACCCACACCGGTAGGTTGACGGCATCTCTACTCCATGTACGTTAGAAGATGGATATTTTGTAACAAAAATCGACCTGTTTCGGGATTTTCCTTAAAACTCGACGGTTCTCGAAATAATGATAATATTCCATAATTTAGCCGGTCACTCATATTTTGGGATTTTGTTTTTAAATTAATTTGTATATTTTATAAAACTTCGTTATGATAAATTGTTAGGTAAAAAATGTATTAAAACAAATATTGCAAATTAAAATTAAACAATAAAGAATACATTATACAATTCTAAAAATAAATTTATATATTTTTAAGGTTGTCTCTTACAGTTTCATTTTTTGTTAATATTAATTTAAATCAAACTTAACATTGCAATAAATTTTGTTTATACACTTTTTTGTACTCGTAATAATTTTTAATTATTCCTGTCCATATCCCATCCAATATTATTTATTGTCCCATGGACCATTTTCGTAGAACTGTAAGTAAAACTTGTAAATAATAGCTGAATACCTAACACCCACAGCTTTTATGTAACAAAATCACTTCTTTGAGTCATTTCACTTAATGAACAGCATGCGATGTGTGATAATGATTAAAGAGATAAAAACAATATCACTGTTTTGGTTTTTTTTTTAGATATACAAAAGAACCCATCTAAAGGAACGTTGGATTTGTCTCAAATCAAAAGCATCCAAAACCTAATCAACTTAGACGGAGGTGTCGTTGTAAGTACCAACGGTGAACACGGTACCACCTCAAGAATAACAACTACACAATCTACAACTCCTACTGTCCAAACTACACAAAGACAACCTAAGAAATTAGTGACTTTACCCACTGAAGATCCATTGTCAGCTATAAGTAACAGTGAAGATGGTTTCGACTCTATAGAAAGTACTACTAGGACATTACGAGCACCAGTAGGTTTTAATCCCGTACCAGGAGTAGATGATGGTAGTCCTAATCCCTTGGTACAGAGCAATTTGATAACTGCGGCTGTTAATGTTACCAAAGCCATTTCTAGCTTTTTAGGAACAGCTTTACAGGTATATATTTATGTTTTTGCGTATTAAATTGTACACATTTTGTAAATTTTATAATTAGCCATAGCTCAATCAAATGGTAACGTTGTTTGCTTCGTGCTGGAGGGGGAATATACGTGTATTGGCATTAGTTTTATCTTGAGATATACAAGGTGGTCCAGAATTATGTACATTAATTTCTAGAGCTCATAGTACGTCCAAAAATAAGGGTACTTCTTTATGTACACTTTTTTATAAAACTGAATAATAAGGGAGATACAACCCTTTAAAGGGGTGAATTGAAATTCTTATTTTTTCAAATATCTTCCAAACGGTTTTGAATACGGAGTTCATATTTTGGGAGTGATTATAAGACATTAGGATAATTAATTTCATGTCACCACCTACCACATCCTATATTAATACAGGGTAGTTTTGGAGGGTAAGTGGGGGTTATTGCGTCACATGTTTTTTAATTTTTACATATTTTAAAAAAATATTTTAAAAATTGTTTCCTTAGACTTTTCTACGCAAAAAAGGTGCTCTTGTAATATTTCGATAGATATCACCGATTTCGATTTATTTAAACTCGAAGGTATACATGTATTTTATTGTAATCGTTACATTTCTTAATATTCATCAAGTATGCTTTGGAATTGACACTTGTGTTAGCAATAATATTACAAATTAATGGAAAACTTAATAAATACTTAACATTTAATTAATGGCGAAAATAATATTTCACAACTGTTCAAAATGTCCTTCATTTTGTTGAATACATAATCTAATTCTGTTATTTAGCGAACGCATTAATCCATTTAATGTTACTGGATCGTTTTGTAAATCGGTAAATACTTGTTCAATTTTGTCTCTTAACTCATTTACTGTATTAATTGGAGTGTTATACACTTTTGATTTCAAATAACCATACTGTAAAGTCATTGGATTAAGATCACAACTACGAGCAGGCCAATGAATCGGTGCATCCGCTCCCCGGCCTATCCACCTATCAGGGAAATGTTCATGTAACCACCTTCTACAAATTCTTGTGTAATGTGGTGTAGCACCATCATGCATGAAAAACATGTTTCTTTGTATTTGTAATGGAATATCTTCCAAAATATCATGTAAAATATTGTCTAGAAAATTGTAATACATGTTACCATTTAAATTTCCGGGAAAGATGTGGTATCCTATGAAACTATTTCCTAAAGTAGCTGCCCAAACGTTTATCTTGAACGTGTGTTGGAAGTGAGTTTCCATTGTAGCCCTTGGATTTTCTTCAGCCCAGAAGTGCATATTTCTAGAATTGAACATACCTTGTCTTGTAAATGTGGCCTCGTCTGTAAACAGAATGTTGCTTAAAAAATTTGGTGCAGTTTAAACTTTATTTTGCAATACTTCACAAAAATCAACTCTAAGTGGCATATCGTCAGGTAACAATTCCTGCACCTGTCGATAGTGGTAAGGATGTAATTGCTCTTCATGCAGAACTCTTAAAACACTTTGATAGGAAATATTCGTTCTTAATCCTAACCTGCGTGTACTTATTGTGGGGTCATTTATTACAGCATCCAATATTTGCTGTTCAACGCGAACATTTCTTGCTTCTCTACGACGACCAGCATCTGTATTCCTTCTTTGAAGACAACCGGTTTCTCTCAGTCGTCGTTCAGTACTTACAAAAGTCCTGGCATTGGGAATATTTCTGTTCTGATACTTTTCTCTGTAGCGTCTTACAGCGGCAGCAGCATTTCCCGAACATTCCCCTAATACTAAAAGTATGTCTGTCATCTCAGAATTTGAATAGTGTGCCATATTGCGGGCAAACAAATTTAAAAATATAGCAAAAGAGACGTGTTAAACAAATTTCACTGTCGAGTACAATAAAAGTGTAGATAAAATAATTTAATTGTTATTAAACGTCACTGACAATTCATAGTACTACTTGAGATTAAAGTGTTGTTGCTAACACAAGTGTCAATTCCAAAGCATACTTGATGAATATTAAGAAATGTAACGATTACCTACAATAAAATACATGTATACCTTCGAGTTTAAATAAATCGAAAACGGTGATATCTATCAAATATTGCAAGAACACCTTTTTTGCGTAGAAAAGTCTAAGGAAACAATTTTTAAAATATTTTTTTTTAAATATGTAAAAATTAAAAAACATGTGACGCAATAACCCCCACTTACCCTCTAAAACTACCCTGTATTAATATAGGATGTGGTAGGTGGTGACATGAAATTAATTATCCTAATGTCTTATAATCACTCCCAAAATATGAACTCCGTATTCAAAACCGTTTGGAAGATATTTGAAAAAATAAGAATTTCAATTCACCCCTTTAAAGGGTTGTATCTCCCTTATTATTCAGTTTTATAAAAAAGTGTACATAAAGAAGTACCCTTATTTTTGGACGTACTATGAGCTCTAGAAATTAATGTACATAATTCTGGACCATCTTGTATGCATATAGGCAGTAAATAATCGTGAAATACAGCGATACCGTGTAATTTTTCGTGTCATCATCGAATTGTATGAATATTTGGATTTAGGTTCTGCTTATCCTCCACTTTAAACTTGAATTTGTAAGATTGGTTGCTTTTTATTTTTTAGTTGTGGAAAGTATCACTATTAGAAAAAAATCGTATAATTGTAAATTAAAGCAGGTTATTGATTTAAGTTTGCTTTTATTAAAGTGAATAAATTTTATTTAACATTAAACAACAATATTTAGGATTTTATCACAGTTTAGCCTCTAAATATCACCTCCTAGAATAGTTATAATTAAAACGATGTCATTAAATACCTTGTCTTCCCTGATTTTCACGAAAATTTGGATTTAAGTTATACCTACTCCCCACTTTAAAATTGGACTTACGCTGTTAATTGATTTTTTATTTTTTAAGGGTGAAAACTACCCGTAGTAGAAAAAAAATCATATAATTTTAAATTCAAGCACTTTTAAATTATTTAGTTATACAGTGATATTGTATTAAGATTTTTTGTTGTTTAGTTGTGGTATTTTTTTTTATTTAAATTATCAATACAATAATATTTTTAATCAAAATGTCATAAATCAGTTTTATTTCAACTTAAAAACAACTCTTATTTGTTTGTAAGAATGGGTGAAAGTATGTCTGTGTTCTAATAGCAAATTGTAATGTATAGAATTTTTTATATACAGAAGCTTGCACGTCATTCAAGATTTACGTCGTCAGAACCCCACAGCGTTGCCAAAACATCAGAATAGTTAGTAAGTGAGGAATTTTGAAAATGTCAACTATTTGTCAAACTATTATATTAACAGTAAATACACTTATTTTTAAGACTACTGCAACAGATTAAAATACATAAGAAAACATTTTAATACAAAATTATATATTCTAAATTTTAAACTTACCTTTTTAGGGCTTTAATAGTAAAAACGTCCCGCCATTATTTCTTGTTCAAAATAATCTATCTTAAATGAAAGTTTATCAGCTTTCTACAGACTATTTATTTGTTTTGGCATAGCACAATCACACTACACACCAATAATTAGTTTTTAAAGCTGTTAATCTAAATTTAATATGTATTTATAAATACAATTTATTAATATATATTAGATTATGATCAAATTGTGTAGGAAATCAAAACATAAACAAAATTCCTACTCTAAAAAAGCGGCAACACTTTATACACTTTTGTCAAACGCTTAACTGTGAATAAAATTTGAAGTATTTTCGTATCAGTTGCGTAACATTGTCTAATATATTTAATTAAAATTATTATTTTGTGGAATAATAAACTTAAAGAGTTATTTTATAAAATGTATATTATTAATAATAACAAATAGTTTTGATCAATATAATTCTAAAATTTCCAATATAATGATTACATTTTTCTGATTATTACACCATGTTGACGCCTATGAAAGATCGAGCAGTTCGGTATGGGTTTCGTATTATTAGCTGTGTTAGGAAAATTTGAACTCTAAGGTTGATGTTCTGGAAATTTTAAATACAAGTGACGGCACTTTATATAAATCATGACGTGCAAGTGTTATACTTTGTAAAATGGTATATCTTACAATACTCCAGTATACGCGTTCTGATAGCTCCTAAAATATGTAATTGGTTGTTTACCTCATAACTTATTTAGCTTTTAAGCTATGAAATATATAAATACCATTTTGTAGGTAATTTTAAGAGCACTAAGATAATTTAAATTAATGTTTTTAAACCTTTGTTTTTAAAAGGTTTGCAGTTGAAAGAGTTTGAACAAGTCACTAATCACCAATGTATGCAAACTTTGAAGACCCATATCTTAAAAAAATCTTGTCTTAGATTAAAACAAAAAACGAAAATGTTTAAAAAAGCAAAACCTAAATTTTTTACTGTTTGAAATTTTTCGCATCACTAATATTTCTTAGGTTATTTTGAAAAACGCATTATTTTCAAAAATTTCAAAAATTTTTTTTACTGTTAAATGATACTTTTTTTACAAAAAAGGGAAACCAACCTTATTTGAAACGTAACTTGCTTAGTTTGGATAATTGGATTTTTTAAAAAACAAAAATAAAGCTATTTTCAAAAACTTTAGAAAAAATTTTATTCCTAAAAAGTTTTTTTTGTAATTTAACGTTGAAATATTCAATTTGGAATGTGATAAATAAGAACCTACTTTTCATGAGCTACCACTCTGCTTCTACTGAGTCTACAGACATCAAAAACACACCATTTTTTTTTTAAATTTTTTTATATGCTGCATTTTTACTAAGAAAATTTTTTTCGATAAAAAGTTGCTTTTTAAATTATTTTTAAAAATTAATCCGAAAACTTGTTTTTTTTAAATGAACATTTTCATTTCCAAACCTCGAAAAGTAATAACTTCACCCCCGAGTAGAGGTGGCTTTCACCCTCCAAGTCAAAGCAACCCTAGGCTCAAGTCCAGAAGTAAAATAGGGGATATGAAGAACCTAAATTCGCATTTTCAACACTTTAAATTACACTCCAAAACGGAAAATTACACT